TCCAAGACCAAAGGCTAGGAGCTTCCCGCTGTGCCGCCATCGCTGTTACCCCCCAGAGCACGGGAGGGGGGTGCTGGGGGGCGGGGGGCTCAGCTGTGCATCCCACGCCAGCAGGCAAGTTCAGCTCTGGTTCACTGATGGCAAGGTCACATGGAATCAAGGACCAAGATCTCCTTTGGCACGCAGGTGGCCTCATGCATTCTTTAGCTTTCAAAAACCTGAAAACACCTGCAATTCTTCAGGCGCGTTCTAGAAGAGCAAGGAAAGAGTGCATCTCAGGTGAGACAGATGTGGAACTGGATGTTACCAAATGATTTCCAATTTTCAGAGACTTGGATCAGGTGGCCTAGATTAGGTTCAAGATAATCAATTTTCTGGACAATCAATGCCATATATTACTCTAACCCTCAGAGGGAGCTTTTTTGTATTGCTGGAAGATCTCATCTGGTCTTGCTCCTTGTCCATATAAAACACTCGACATCAATTAGTACTGCACAGGAACTGAAGCTGGATGAGAACCCTTGCTAAATCAATTAGACTGGATAATTAGAGCAGATTCCCAAACGTATGAAAGAAACAGCCCCAGTTTGGTTCCATTTAGCCCTCCCTTCCTTAGAAGCTTTATACGCCAGTGTACAAATTACAAATGGAAGCGAAATATACTTAATTTTGAATTTTTTGTATGCTTTTGAGTTTCGGAATTTCATCATATCCCTTGATTGGAGTGGGAATAATGTGGAACAATTAAATTGGCAATCATTTAATCAAATTCTAAGATGGCAGTTCTGCTTGGTGTGCAGCCACGTATTTCTGGAGTATCTGTGGTCTGTACCTGCAGGATAATCTGTCCTTTGAACTTACTTTTGATGTATGTAGCAGTATCTATAAATATCTCTCAGTTCCAGAATAGAAAGTAAGTGACGTGCTGGTTTTATGTTTGATAAGAATACTTAAATTATACCTTTTGCACAGAACATTTACAATTTAATGTCTTGCAGATATTAAAACACAGGCATAAATTTCTTTTGTGAATTTATACTAGTGTGCCATCTATGAAGAAGAGGTCACTTAATGCAATAAATATTTATATATAAATATTGTTGTGTTCACTTAGTACAAATGTTGAGCTTTTACATATTAAGTAATTGCAAATCTGAAGAAATCCATATGTCTTTTTTTACTGTAAAAATTCCCGTTTTAGCTTTACTGAGATAGCACTGACATATAAAAATAGTGTCTAAGATGCACAACTTGATGTTTAATACATGTGCACGTTGTGACATCACTACAGTCAAGCTAATTAACATACCTAGAACCTCCATGTAACTACCACTGTGTGCATTAAGATTTAAATAAGATTTCTCCTTTTGAATTATTTGTTTTAACAGAAAAACTCTTTCACGAGGATTCATCACTCCCAGGTGTAAAATCTTTGGACATTTAGGGGCATGGGTCATTGCACTGCACTTTTAAGTGGAAAAACGGTATCTTTATTTGTAACCAGAGCTGATATTTGTCCAGGATATGTGATAACGTGCTCTGTAGCGAATTGCCATTTCCTTGTTCACTTGTGTTTTTTCTCTTGGTGATTGGGTCTGTGACCTTGCAGTATATATATATGCTATTATTAAAATCCAGTGAGACAGCTCACTTATATATATGGTTTATATTTTTGTGATATGTGATTTTATGCACTACTACTTAGCTATTACAGTCTAGTAAAAATATGGCCAATTAATTTTCTTTCTTAAAGCTCTGTACATTAAAATATGTCTGCCCTTTTACATTTTGATTACAGTCATTGAAATAGCCCCTTAAAAAGGACCTTTCATTCTTATACTATTTCCTTTGAAGGACTGAATTTTAATACCCTATCAATACTTGCTTTTTTTTTTTTGCTTTAATCTGTGAAAATGCATTTAATTTCAGCAGTGAAAATTGACAGCATCCATTTTTATCTTTAATTAACTTTTCAGTTTGGCTTTCCTCTTAAAGGCTCACAGCAGAATTTATCACCAAACTACAATGGAAATGCTGAATGGGAGATTCGAGAATCCGCCTGGCTCTGCATTTAGCTCAGTTGACCCCATTATGAGAAAGGAAGTGAACAACGTGGGTATCCGAGACGATTCATTCGGCCAGTCGGAGTGGAGGACGGGCACCAGCTGCCCTCGCTGGAGGGTCCCGCGAGGGAGCAGGTGGGAGAACAAACGCCCCCTAAAGGGGAAGGCTGCCACCTACCACCCGCCCTGTGGCCGAGCCTCCGCGGGCTTCCTCCTCTGCCTCCGGGTTTTAAGGCCGCACTTAAATAAGACGAAATCAGAGGAGGAGACTCTTAACTCTGGGGAAGGAACAGGGGGCCGCAGGGGAGTGGGACGGCGAGTGGGGTGGGCATGGAGGAGGGCCGTGATGGGAGGGGCGCGGGGTGTCCTGTGCAGCTGACCAATCACTCAACTAACAATGCACTAGATGTTAATTCTATGATTTTAAGTTAGGAAAGGACAAGATGAGTGGTGGGCCCGGCCCCCTGCCCGCTCGCCAGCTCGGGACGTCGGCGGCCTGCGCCTGCCCGGCGCTCGCTTCCTCCTCCCGGGAGCCCTCCGAGCATCTGCCGTGACCGCGCAGCGCGCCCAGGTGAGGAGCGCAGGCGCGGCCGCCCCCTCGGGAGCCGGGAGCCCGCGCGGGGGGAGGCTGTGGGCCGCAGGGGTGGTTACAGACGCGCCGCGCTGGAGGCAGGGCCAGGTGCCCGCGCGGCGGGACACGGGCTGCTCGGTCCCTGGAAGCAGTGACGGGGGTGGGGGGAGGCCGCGCGTCACCTGCAGGGGCAGGGGGCGGGCCCGGAGGTGTCGGGAAGCCCGGGAGGCCCCTGAGGGGCGGGGGGGGGGGGCACGAGCCCCCGGAGTGCCCGAGGGCGCGGGGTGGCCACGGCTGGGGCCCGGGGCGCGCGGCCGCCCTGCGCTTCGGGCACCTGCTGGCGGTGCCGCCGCGGGTCCCGCGAGTGTCCACCGCCCGCGGGCCGCACTGAGGTCCCTGGGGTGTTGGCCTGGATTGTAGGTGCCCCCGCAAGCGGCCCCGGCGGCCCTGCCCCCGCTGCGCCGCTGTCCTCGGGGGGCGCCCGGGGCGCGGGTGCAGGAGCCGCCGTCCTGCTGGCGGGGGCGGAGGGGACGGGGACGGGGGACGGGGGGACGGAGCCCCGAGGCCCGGGAGCCGCGCAAGTCAAGCAGCCGCCAGCCCGCGCCCCTCCAGTCCCGTCCCTGCCCCGCTGCACGCGGACGGCCGCGCCTCGAGTCTGCACCCGGCTTCGGGGCGGGGAGGCGGGGCTGCGCGCTCGGGGGGGGGGGGGGGGTGCGGACGAGCCTGCCGCTCTGCCCCGCGCTCCCTGCTAACCCGCTGTGCTCCTTCGGGCCCACGGAGCTTCCTCCTAACGAGGAACAGAGGCCGTGACGCGGTCGGCCCGGGGCGGGGGGGCCGCTCCTTACGGAGGTCACGGGGGGCACACGGGGGGGCGGCTGTGGGTCGGTGCCGAGGCCACTGCATGTCCTCCGTCGGGCTCCGGAAGGAGGGTCCGGCTGCACCCCCAGCTCCCCCGCGTGGCTTCAGGGACGGGGAGCGGGCGGGAGGCGAGCCCCCTGCCACGTTCTTGGGGGGCAGTTCTCGTGCGGACGCGGAATAACCTCCTCCCGTCCGTCCGCACCCCCGCGCTGAGCGCGGCGCGGATGTTCATAGGGACCCGCCCAGGCAGCCGGAGGCCAGCAAGGCCGGCGGCGGGGCGCCCGGGGCCTCGTGCTGCCGGGATTGGCCGTCGGGCCGCGGGCCTGGGGCCACTCCGGGGCGGGGCCGTTCCGGGGCGGGGCCGCTCGGGGCGGGGCTCTAGCGCTAAGGTCGCTTCTAAACAGAGCAAGGCCCAAGGCGGGCGGGAAGGTGGAGGCGGGGCTACGCGCCGGCGGGGCGGGAGCGGGGGCGGGGGCGGGGCCAGGCGCGAGCCTCCCCTCGCGCTGGGAGCCGGCGGGAACGCTGTGGGCCGAGGCGGAGGCGGGGCTACGCGCCGGCGGGGCGGGAGCGGGGGCGGGGGCGGGGCCAGGCGCGAGCCTCCCCTCGCGCTGGGAGCCGGCGGGAACGCTGTGGGCCGAGGCGGAGGCGGGGCTACGCGCCGGCGGGGCGGGGCCGGGGCGGGGCCGGGGCGGGGCTAGGCGCGAGCCTCCACTCGCGCCCAGAGCCGCGGGAGCCGTGTGGGCCGAGGTGGCAGCGCCCGCAGCACCCCGCAGCACTCCGCAGCAGCCCCCAGCAAACCCCCAGCACCCCGCAGCAGCCCCCAGCACCCCGCAGCACCCCCCAGCACCCCGCAGCACTCCCCAGCAACCCCCCAGCACCCCCCCAGCACCCCGCAGCACCCCCCAGCACCCCGCAGCAGCCCCCAGCAACCCCCCAGCACCCTGCAGCAGCCCCCAGCACCCCGCAGCACTCCCCAGCAACCCCCCAGCACCCTGCAGCAGCCCCCAGCACCCCGCAGCACTCCCCAGCAACCCCCCAGCACCCCGCAGCAGCCCCCAGCACCCCGCAGCACCCCCCAGCACCCCGCAGCACCCCCCAGCACCCCGCAGCAGCCCCCAGCACCCCCCAGCAGCCCCGCAGCACTCCCCAGCAGCCCCCCAGCACCCCGCAGCAGCCCCCAGCACCCCGCAGCAGCACCCCCAGCACCCCGCAGCAGCCCCCAGCACCCCGCAGCAGCAGCCCCCAGCACCCCGCAGCAGCCCCCACCACTCCCCAGCAGCCCCGCAGCAGCCCCCAGCAGCCCCGCGGCACCGCGCAGCAGCCCCCAGCAGCCCCCAGCAGCCCGCAGCAGCGTCCGTCCCGCGTGGGCTCCCCCGTTCCGGCCCCGTCCGTCTGGAGCCGCCTTCCCTCCCGCGCGGCCGCCGTGAGCCCCAGCCTGCCTTCCGCGCGGGGCCAGGCGATGTCGGCGCGGGGGTCCGGGCCGGGGGTCCTCGGCCTCGGGCCCCGCCCGCTGCGCCTCCTCCTCCTCCTCAGGCTGGTCGCGGGGCGCTGGGGCCCAGCCTGCGCGGGGGGCGCGCCTGGAGGTGAGGCTGGGGGGGAGCAGCCCCTGCGTTCGCCCTGGGAGTACCGGGCGGGGGCGTGGGGCGGCGGGGGGGCTCAGACGGGGCGGGGGCAGGGGCACGGGCGGCCGGGGGCGCGGGGGGGGGGGTCAGGGAGTGGGAGTCACGGGGGGGGGGACGCAGAGAGGCCAGGGGGCACGCGGCAGGAGTCGCAGGGCGGCAAGGGGAGCAGACAGGTCAGGGAGCTGGGGGTGCAGACAGATCAGGCCGGGGTCGCGGGCGTGTGTGGGGGGGCGCAAAGAGGTCAGGGGGTGCGGGGCAGCCGGGGTCGCGGGCGGGTCGGGGAGTGGGTGGGGGTGGGGCGCAGGGGGCGCACAGAGGTCAGGGGGTGCGGGGCGGCCGGGGTCGCGGGCGGGTCGGGGAGCGGGTGGGGGTGGGGCGCAGGGGGCGCACAGAGGTCAGGGGGTGCGGGGCGGCCGGGGTCGCGGGCGGGTCGGGGAGCGGGTGGGGGTGGGGCGCAGGGGGCGCACAGAGGTCAGGGGGTGCGGGGCGGCCGGGGTCGCGGGCGGGTCAGGGAGCGGATTCACTGGGGGGGAGGGGGGAGGAGCGGGTGCAGACAAGTCAGGGGGCGCGTGGCGGCTGGGCGGCCTGGAGGCTGGTGTCGGGCCCCAGCTCGGGTTCGCAGGGAACTCGGGGCGCAGAGGCAGCCGTTCAGTACGCGGTCCGGGGCGAGCGAGGTGCAGCCGTGAGTTCGGCGGCCACGGGGGTCGCTGCTGCGGCCCCGCCACCCTGGGGCCTGCGGGGTGGGGGGGGGAGGCCGCGTGGACGCCGCCGCAGCTCCGGGGTCCTGGGCACAGGCACCCAGCGGGGCGGCCCCGTGCGGGCGCAGGACCTGCGGGGCTGAGGCTGCGCGTGGGGACCTTGGGGAGCCTCCCGGCCGGGTGGGGAGCGCCCTGCATCCCCAGCTCCCCCCTCCGCAGGACGCTGCTGGCCTTTCAGCCTCCGGGCGGGCGCTGAGGTGTTTTGCGCAGGAATAGAAAGAACAGAAGAAAATGCTCAGTGGGCCTCACTTCCCAGGGCTTTAGGAAATGTCAGAGTCGCTCCCCTCAGCGTCTTGGGGAGAAATGCTACCATTTCTGGAGAAGCTGTGACAGGTGAAGGTGAGAGCCGGAGTTCCCAGCAGAAGTTCAGCCTCCGTGGGTGAAGTTTCCTAGAGAGGAGACGTGTTCAGGTGTGGGAAGAATCTCCCCCGCCTCCCCTTAAGCTTTGTCAACAATGATTTCTGACTCCAGAAGCGATGATCTTGACACTGGAGTTCTTTGTTGCGGAGCGCACTGCGGAAGGAGCCCCGAGGGAAATCACAGGGAGGTGACTTCGACATTTAGAGAAAGTCCTGTGCTGAGCATGCCCCGGTCATAACCAGAGGAAAGGACTGATGCTCAGGGCCCCACGAACCTGGGTTCGGGGGACTCCGGGGCGTCATCTTCACCTGGACAAGTGGTTGGTCGGCTTCCGTTGCAGCACTGGGGTTACCTGAGTCCTCTCCAGAATTAGGTAGTGAAATGCCAGGTGAGAGCCATCGTTTCCTGCACCTTTTGCTGAAAGTGGAGCTTTTCTCCTGTTTTAATACAGAACATTGTATACTCAAGCCGTGAATGGGGTCCGCAGCCTGCATCCCGCGTGGTGCTGGGCGCTGTCCAGGCAGGGCCGATCCATCTCCTTTCTGACCCACGTTACTTAGCAAGTACCTCTCAAAAACATCACGTTCTACTACGTTTATGTTTTCTCTTTGTCCCACGCGAGCTCCTTAAGAACTGGGATTTTTTTTTTTCAATTTTATTTTCAGTATAGCGAGGAGCCCCGTAGATGTTGCAGAGGGATGGACCAGGCAGTAAGCTCTCTCTGTACATTACTTTGCTCATCTGTAGAATGAGGGTTCGTTAATGGCTCCCCACCCCAGCTCTAAAACTTCCAAGAGTCTGTGTGCTCTTAGTGATTGTTTGGAGAACAAAGTGATGTTAAATGGATGATGGAATTGCACACTTGCTCCTAAATGGTGATGGGATTTGTGGGGTGGCTTACAGTACTGTCTGGAGACCTGCCACTAACTTGCCGTTTCCTTGGGCATTAGCTTGACCTCGCTTTATTTCTCCCTCTTTAAAATGAGAGGGTGACAGTAGATGTTTAGGTCCCATCAGCCAAAATCTACATTTTGCTATTTTCATATTTACCTTAGAATTTCAATAATCACTGTTTCTTTTTTTTAAATTTTTAAAAAATATTTTATTTATTCATTCACGAGAGACACACACACAGAGAGAGGCAGAGACCCAGGCAGAGGGGACCTCCAGGGAACCTGACGTGGGACTCGATCCCAGGTCCCCAGGACCACACCCTGGACTGAAGGCGGCACCAAACCACTGAGCCACCCGGGCTGCCCCGTAATCACTGTTTCTTACGGTTTTCTGTGAACCAATCCTCAGGAAACCAAAAGTCTAGTCTGCCAACAGCTGTATGTTCATGGGTGATGGAAAATTGAAGAATTTGAAGGAAAATTGCAGAATTTGAAAAGTGGTTCAAGAGGCAATTTTGTCTGTATTGAATTAGTGGGGCACTGGGCTGGCTCAGCCGGGAGAGCATGTGATTCTTAATCTCAGGGTCATGAGTTCGAGCCCCACAGTTGGGGTGTAGAGATTACTAAAAATAAAGTAAGAACTAAAAAAAAAAAGAATAATTAGTATATTAAGATAATACAAGCCTTTTTAACCAACCTGACCATGACTGGGACAGTGATTTATGGAAATCAGTCATCACTCACTTATATTTCTTAGCTATGTGACATTTTAAGTGGTTGAAACTTTATTTTTAGTATATATAGTAATAGATCTATCATTAAAAGGGAACTAAAATAACTATTTATGGAAAGTGAGAGCTGTGAAAGATTTTTTTCTCTTCAACTTTAATTATTTTCATTTTCATTAACATTTGCAGAAGCTAACAGGAATACCCTCGTGGTGGCTGTCATCTCTGCTTTTGTGATGACATTGAGAAGAGTCTCTAGGTGCCTCAGTTCCTCAGGCAAACCTCTCATATTATTTGAAATGGAACATTATTTTGGTTTCCTTGCAAATACTAAATATGCTCTATGAGCTAGGCTGTGAGCACCTGGCAGGTACGGTTCTTGGGTGCATTTCCTGATGCACCTGACTTAATGTAGACTATCAATGGCACTTCGAAAGGTTCCCAGTCATTTATTTGTCAGAATAGGGGTTTTTTTTTTTCAACGTATAATCTACAAATTAGATCTAGCAAGTAATTTTTTTGTAATTAGGATATGAATTTTTAGTACAGCAATTTCAGTACAGAACATTTTTCTTCTAATACTATTATTCTTCTCCCTTAAGAATTGGAATTAATTTTTTCAGATGTAATTTTAAGTTTAATATTAAATAAGCATGTCTTGACAGTATGAGTTAGCAAATATTGGGATAGCTTTTGATAAAAGTTTATGACTTGTTTGTTTAGAAGTCTAAACAGACTCTCCAGAACACCAGAGGTATAGTTTTATAATGACAGGAGGATAGAAGAGATTATTTCAATGATCCCTTTCTGCTAAAATTTTAATCTAAATGGTCTGTTTCCATTTTGGGGAAGCAGGATATTGTTTCTACTAACTGAGTTTAATTCAGAGACCTTATGCTTTCTTCTTAAGTAGATTTATAAAGTAAAGCCTTTTACTAGTAAAAAGAGCAATTAAATATGAATATTTGTTTTTTTTAAATTTTATTTGTTCATGTATGATAGTCACAGAGAGAGAGAGACAGAGACAGAGACACAGGCAGAGGGAGAAGCAGGCTCCATGCACCGGGAGCCCGATATGGGATTCGATCCCGGGTCTCCAGGATCGCGCCCTGGGCCAAAGGCAGGCGCCAAACCGCTGCGCCACCCAGGGATCCCCAAATATGAATATTTGAATCTGACAAAAAGGACAGCATGAAACTTTTTTTTTTTTTGAGGCGTGTAATGTAATATGCTTTGACAGTCACATAAATATCTGCACCGAAGTGTGATAGGGGCTTTAATTAGAAAACAGTCACAGAGGAAAGTGTGCTCAGTTTTCTACCAAACATTCCCTCCACCTGTGGGCCTGAGAGCCGTGGTTCTCGCTCACGGAGACGGGGTGCCCTGTAGTCCTGCGGGGGCTGCTTATGTGCCCACTTTCACGGACCCTGGAGCATGGGTACGCACGCTCTGCATTGCTACTTCCATACTATAACCTCTCGTTTTTCCCTTTTGAAAAGGATATTCTTCTGCTAGCAGGAATTTACGTGTTTAATGCAAAAAAAAAAAAAAGGAAGAAAGAGGAACGCGCACACTCCTACAGCAGTACGTGTGAGTGCTGGCTGCCACACTAACCACGGATGTTACTGCGTCCAGAGTTTTCTGTCTGCGTGTCTGCTCCTTTGCTACGTGCAGGCTTTCTAGTAGTGTCAGATTCAGAAAATTATGGCCAAGACCCGTGTCAGGGAGCTTACCACCAATGTTTCTTCCACGAGTTACATGGTTTTGGATCTTATGTTCAAGTCTTTAAAGCATTTTGAGTTTATTTTTGTGCGTGGCGTGAGAAAGTGGCGTGGTTTCATTCTTCTGCCTGTGGCTGTCCGTTTTCCTGACACCATTTATTAAAGAGCCTGTCCTTTCCTCCTTGGGTATTCTTGGCTCCTTTGTCATCAATTCGCTGACCGTAGAAGCATGGGTTTATTTCTGAGCTCTCTACTCTGGTCCCGGATCCATGGGGCTGGTTTCGTGCCAGGACTGTACTGTTTCAGTGACTATAGATTTGCGACACGGTTTGGAACCAGGGAGCAGGATAACCTCCAGCTTAGTTCTTCTTTCTCAAGGTTGTGTTGGCTCTTCTGAGTTTTTATGGTTCTGAACAAAGTTTAGGATTATTTGTTCTGTTTTTTTGAAAAATAACATTGGGATATTGACAGGGATTGCATTGAATCTGCATATTACTTGGGGGTAGTATGGACATTTTAACAATATTCTTTTAATCCTGAGCATCTTTCTATTTATATCTCTTTTTTTTAATTTTTTTTTATTTTTTTATTTATTTATGATCGTCACACAGAGAGAGAGAGAGGCAGAGACACAGGCAGAGGGAGAAGCAGGCTCCATGCACCGGGAGCCCGACGTGGGATTCGATCCCGGGTCTCCAGGATTGCGCCCTGGGTCAAAGGCAGGCGCCAAACCGCTGCGCCACCCAGGGATCCCAATTTCTTTTTTTTTAAAACTATTGTTTAATTTATTCATGAGAGAGAGAGGCAGAGACACAGGCAGAGGGAGAAGCAGGCTCCACGCAGGGAGCCCAATGCGGGACTCGATCCCGGGACCCCAGGGTCACGCCCTGGGCCGAAGGGAGATGCTCAACCACTGAGCCACCCAGGCGTCCCAGTTTCTTTAATGTCTTGGAGTTCTCGATATACAGGTGTTTCATCCCCTTGATCAAATTCATTCTTAGGTATTCATTTCAAGGCAATTGTAAATGGGACTTTTTAAAAACCTTCTCTTCCCGATGGTTTACTATTAGTATATAGAAATGCAGCAGGTTTTTTGTGTGTTGATTTGGTATCCTGTGGCTTTACTGATTTTGTTTATTCTTACAATTTTTTTGGTGGAGTGTTTCAAGTTTCTATATGTAGCATCATGTCATCTGGAAGTAGTGACATTTTTACTTCTTCTTTACCAATGTAGATACCTCTTATTTCTTATTCTTGCTTCACTGCTCTGGCTAGGACTCCAGTCTGTGTTGGATAAAAGTGGTGAGAGTGGGGCATCCCTGTCTGTCCCTGGCCTGAGGAACGGCTCTCAGCTTCTCACCGTTGATTGTGCTCTTAGCCGTGGGCCGTACGGCCTTTACTACGTTGAGGCAGATTTCCTCGGTGTCCACTTTGTTACGAGACTTTATCGTGAGTGGATATTGGAGTTGGTCAAGTGCTCTTCTGCATCTATTGCGAGGATCCTATGATTTTTATCCTTCATTTTGTTAACTGGTGTATAACACAGACTGGTTTGTGGATTTTAAAGCATCCTTTCATCCCTGGGAGAAATCCCCCTCTATCGCGTTGAATGACCCTTTTGGTGTATTGATTTGGTTTGCTAATATACAGTTGAGGATTATTGCATCTGTGTTGATCAGGGATAGTGGCCCGTAATTCTCTTTTCTGTGGCATCCTTGTGTGGTTTTGGTTTCAGGGTAATGCCGGCCTCGTAGAATGAGTTTGAACGTGTTTTTTCCTCCTCTATATTTTGGAAGAATTTGAGAAGGATTGATATTAATTCTTCTTTGAATGTTTGATAGAATTCACCAGTATTTTTTTTTTTGGAAAGGAATTAAGTCTTTTTTTTCTTTTTTTTAAGATTTTATTTATTTACTTGAGACAGAGGGAGAAGCAGACTCACTGCTGAGCAGGGAGCCCAATGCTGTACCCAATCCCAGGACCTCGAGATCACGGCCTGAGCAGAAGGCAGGCAATTCAGTGACTGAGGCACCCAGGCACCCACGA